TTTTTGTCCAGATAGGTTACCCAGATCTGCCTTACGAGGCCTGGTATCTTCCTGTTGTTGCCATCTGTACTTAAGTTCCTGTGTAGTGACTTATCTTATGGGAACTTCCTTCTTTGACAGTGTTTAACACCATAACACCATTATGTCCTGACAGAATGGACTGTTGGACCAAGTCCAGAGGAGGGCCACCAAGCTGATCAGAGAGATGTAGTACCTCTCCTATGAGGAAAGGTTGAGAGAATTGGGATTGTTCAGCCCAGAAAAGAGAAGGATTCAGGATGACAAAATTGTGGCCTTCCAGTACCTGAAGGGAACTTACAGGAAAGATGGGGCAAGACTATTAGCAAGAGCACGTAGTTGACAGGACAAGGGGGAACAGATTCAAACCGAAAGAGAGCAGGTTTAGATTAGATATTAGGAAATATTCTTTACTGTGGGAGTGGTGAGGCACTGGAACAGGTTGCCCAGGGAAGCTGTGGATGCCCCATCCCTGAACTGTTCAAGGCCAGGTTTGATGGGGCTCTAAGCAACCCGGTCTAGTGGAAGGTGTCCCTGCCCAGGGCAGGTGGGTTGGAACTAGATGATCTTCAAGGTACCCTTCCAACCCAAACAATTCTATGATTCTATGATATGGGCTGTAAGTGTAAGGTTTTAGAGGTTTTCAAGAAGTGTAGTTCCTGAGACAAAGTGGACACTGCCATGGGCTATTCCTGCCATCCAAACTTTGTTTTATAGGACAGTTGCAGCATAATTCCCAAGAGATAACACTTGAACATCACATTAAATCCATATTGTAATGTTATTGATAGAGTGAATTCAGCCAGGGTATAGACTGAACTTTAAAGAGTGAGAATAATTGAGTGTAGGAGTTATAAATAATTTTAGAATAGTAATATGCCCTCTGACTATAAAAGCTGCCTGGTACTTCTACTGGTTGCATAAACATTTGTTTAGATATTCTTTGAGAGATTTTTCCTGATAAAGTGTATTTTCTGCTGAGTTAATTATAAGTTAAGAAGCTCATAATTTAATCAAAGGAGACCTCTAGCTATGTTTGCTAAGTCAATAACCATTCCATGATGGATATGCTTGAGGAGTCAATAGTAATTTTTAACTGAATGTCTTAATCACAAAAATCACTGGAATGGAAGAAAGGAAAATCCAAATTAATTGTTCTGGTCTAAAAATAAAATTGAGGAAAACATATCATTTTGTTAAAACAACCTCTTTCTCTGTGAGAGATTATTCTTGTCATGATTGACCATTCCCATAATGAAGTCATTGAATATGCTATGACTGAAATGAGGAAGAAAATATATTAATAAAAGATTAGCAGTCTTCTGTGTAGCTAACAATTTAGTATTTATTCCATACCCCAAGATTAATACAGAAGTCTGACAAAAACCTCTGTGTAGAATGTCAATGTTTTGTATTTTTTTTTAAAGTAGGACATAAAATAATCTTCCAATCTATCATATTGGTTTTTATGTATATATATATATGCATACACACAGAGAGATGTGTATTAGCATGTCTCTGGATTATGGTGTCATTTATATCATATTAAGTAAGACCAATATGATGGTGTAGGCCAATCCCTTGAAAACATGCAAAGCTACCAGGTATAACAACAATAGCTGTGATGAGAAAACCTTAGGTAATTAGATGGTAATCTTTTGAGTACATATATCTGAATGTGTTTCCTTTGACAAAAACTATTGCCTTGTAGTTTCAATATCTCAGACAACACTGTCATATTTTAAAGGTATATTGATAACAACTCTGGTGTTCAGGGTTGACATTCTTTTCTGTGGTATATGCCACACAAAGAGGAGTGATAAAATCCAGGATGCAGTTATGCTGTCCTGGATTCCCGTCAATGTAATTACATCTTCAATTTTATCACTTATCTCAGAGAAAAAGATCTCTACAAATGACAGAGAAATAGTGAGGAATTCTTGACAATTATCACTGTAAAATGAGTTTCACTTTTATACAGAGGCCAGCAGAGTCTGTAATGCCTTAATTTGATGTAATGTGTTTAATGTTATTATTTACAATTCCTGCCAATTAAAATAGAATGTTAATAGTGTCTATTAATATTAGTATAGGCATTGAAATGGAGATAGCAGAGCGTTAGATGACACTATTGTGGCAAATAGTATAGTGGATAAGCAGGAAATACAAAAATAAAACAACATAGATATACATTATGTCACGTGGAATTTCAATTATTTTTTACAATTATTTAAAAAAGTTTAAAATGTATGCCTAGCAGAAAAAATACAGACAAGTGAAACATAAACATAAAAATATCAAACAAATTGGTGCCATGCTTACATGCTCTTATTGCCTAGATATAGCTGAAGGACCTGAAGCAGTAGAATAAGGGCTTGGAGACAACATCTGGTTCTCCCAGCCTAATAAGTTGCTTGGAATCAGCTGAGCCCTGCTAACTACTTACCTGTGGATGACAAGTGCAAGCTTTTATGGTTTATCTTAACTATTCTTCAGTATGGTCTCAGCTAAGACACCTCTGCATGCAGGAGATCATTGGGTTGCAGTAACCTGGTTGTGTTCGTGAAGGGATCAGCTGGCATCGCCAAACAAGTCTTGCAGTGATCACGTAAGTCATAACCAGCCCAAATTATCTGCCTTGTCCCATGACGGTGCTGCAGTAATACATCCACACCTCCCTACTCCGGTGCCTTCAGATGACAGAGAAGGCAAACCAGTACAGACACATAGCTCCAAAAAGGTGGAACAAGGCAGGGCTGAGAGCCTCCTCCCACTTTAGGAGCATTTCAGCAGACAGTGTCTATAAAAGCCAACTTACTGTGGAGTTAGGAGATCTGGGTATAGCTTTCACTCAGCAGGATGTTTCAGTCCATACTATAGCTCAGCGAATCCTCCCTCTAACTGCAATGAACTCTCCTACATCCTCCCCTGCTCTGAACACCTCACTGAACATCTCACTGGTAGCTCTACTGCCAACCCAGGGTGACCTTGATTAAGCCTATGAGGAGCTCATTGTACCAGGATGCTGCTGGGGCCAAGAATTTAGCCACGCTCAAAGAAATGGAGACTTAAACAAGTAACACGATTATCCAGAGCTATTATAGCTAATGCTAACAAAAACTTTGGAAGAGAGGTAAAGCCTCATGCTTCTGGGTGTAGGCCAATCTCTAACTACACTTACTAATAGCCTAAGACCCCCAGTTACCTAATACCCACTTTCAGTGACCTTCCCCACACTGTTCTCTGAGCATTAGGCATCATCAAAAAAGGATAAAAGACCAGATGTAATTTAAACCTTATCCAAAACACCAATTTCATAATTTCCTAAATTGCTAAACCCTCTCAGCTTGTTCTTTGTTTAAGCACTAAAATGGAAAAGCTTCAACTTTAGAGGGGAATGGTGAACTCTTAGCAGTGCTTGAGTGTTGCATTCTCTCAGGAAACAGTGGTGCTGTGAAGGCAAGAATTCATGGACCACATGCTACCAGTAGTAACAATAATAGGCTTGAATCATGCACAGATACTAACTGATCGAACTGATTTGCTTCTCAAATTGTAGTCTTTTATGATGTCCATAAAAAAAAAAGGCTAAGCCCTTTAAAATTGTCTCTCCAAACAGGATAAAAATGACAGCTTGTTTTTGGAAAGAAAATTTATCTTATTGAGAAAAAAATCGTCTTATTAAAAATAAAATGTTTCAAGAAAATAAGACATTTTTCTCCTCAAAGTACCTATTTCCATTTTGTGTGTTTGTACATATGTATATATATACATATATACAAACGTTAAAGTTTGAGTTTAAGGACTGATTATAAAAGATTGCATAATATGAGTGTTCTGAATTCTTTTTCTACTAAAATCCAGCTCTTGGATAGATGACAAAATTTTAATGCCATTTCAGTGCACATTTGGATAAGTGCTCCGTCAAAAAATATTTCAGTAAGTGTAAAATGTTTTTTCATGTTATCAAGATCATCAATAAATGTAAAAATCATTCATTGATGAGTTGCACACAATATTAAAATTCTGGGTGTTCTGCTATCAAAGCTGTTAAAAGAATCAAACATTCTAGGCAGTGGGTAGGGGTCTCCACTAGGCTGCCTAGGTAGAATTCACTGTGTTCTTCATTTAAAATACAGGGACAATCATGTCAGTGCAATGATTTACTCAAATGAGTTCGACTGTTTGCAAGTTTGAGATCACTTGTTTTGGAAAACAGAAGACTGTTGAGACTCTGGCATTCATATGCTCTAATGCTGTTACGCTTTCATAACTTCTGATTATCGGAGTCATGGGATAAACCTGGATTTTTTGCATTTTAGAGTCCAGTTGTATGAAAAAAAAACAAAAACATAAGCTGTGTGGCTATGTGCTACATTCAGATTGGATCATGCTTATAGGTATAAACAGGCTATCACAATTATGGTAATGAAATTAAGAAATATGTATCTGCTATAATTAAATTCATACAGCCCTCCTAGTATGGAAACAAGTAAAGATGTTGTATATTGCTATAACCACCACTTCTAGTGGTGTAACTGCATTCACACCGATTTATGTGGAATTAGAACCAAATCACATCTAAAGTTAAAGACACACTGGTTTAATTTTTGCACTTTGATGGCAAGACAAAACTTCTGAAGGGAGATTTCTGTTTTGTTTTGCAGTGACTGGCATCTTAAAGACGCCTGGAAACATGCATAGGGTGATAAATTATCCACAAGGCAGTGACTTAAAAAACGTGTGTAAAACTAGTACACAAGAGAAATACTGTCCTTCTAGCAAGGATCGAAACAGAGAACAGGACTGTTGCATGAATTTTCCTGCAAAGTCTTTAGCAGCCAGACTAATCCCAGACACACCTCGTGCTGACCTTTACACATATATGCACAAACTTTCTGGGAGACTTCCTTTCCCCAGTCTGTCCTTACTTCATCTCCCAGAAGGGCTGCCTGCTGGACTTGGTGATCCTGCTTTCATAGAAAGGGAGAGAGCCTCCACCTACCTTGCTCTCCTTCCTTCCCTCCCCAGTTCCTCACTCCCTCTCTTCCCCTCAGGCTGGCAGGATTCCTCGGGCAGAGCATGCAATCAGTTTGCAGGGAGCAGCCGCAGCCACAGGAAAGATGCAGAAGCACAACCAGAAGGAGCACCTCTACAAGCTGCTGGTGATCGGGGACCTGGGAGTGGGCAAAACCAGCATCATCAAACGTTATGTCCACCAGAACTTCTCCCCCCACTACCGGGCCACCATCGGGGTGGACTTTGCTTTGAAGGTGCTGAACTGGGATGCTGAAACTGTGGTACGGCTCCAGCTCTGGGATATTGCGGGTGAGTACAGAGGAGAACCTTTTGCCACATAGCCCATCCAAAACCAATACAAAATATAGACCCAAATTCATTTGTACTAATCTAAAAGCTGGAAACCACTAGTGGCTATGAAGTGAGGGAGAGCAGATGGAGGACAGAAAACTTTAAGGGCAGATTGACATTTTGAAGTTTCTCTAAAGTCAGCAGACTCCAAACAAGGGGTGTCAGAGTGGAATCTGTGATGTCTGATTTTTGTCCCAAGCCCTTGGACAAATCCAGGGACAAGGCACCTTTCTCCAAGTGCCTCAGTTATTTCCCTGCAGCTGCCGATGTTCAGATTTGTCTCCTTAGACTAATAGAACTCTGTGGCAGGAGAGAGAGTAACAAGTGGAATAGATGAGGGATTCAGTAAAAAGATTAAAAGGATTTTTATATTTTAAAAAGTAAAGAAAAGGTATCACTGAGTTACTTTATCAAAATACTTTCCTCCTTCCTGTCCTTCCTCTACCTCTTACCTTCCCTCCCTTCAGCCCAGTGAAAATAATTCTTAATGTGCTTTGAAAAGAGAAGTGTTTCTGTTTGGCAGTAATCTTCGTTGTTAAAAATATAATTATCATGTTTAATTATCCTTATTCCAACATCAAGAAAAAAAACATAGTTTACCCTGTGCAAGGAGAAAAAAAGTAAAGAAGTCCAGCTATGCCAGCATGCTTACATAATTAAAACACACATAATCTGACATTGTTGCTGTAAGTGCTTCAGAGCTTTTATATTTGGCTTCAAATTAAACCCACAACTTTTTTTTCACCAGCCCCTTCCTGGAAATTAACAATTTTTGTTTCAGTCCACAAAATAAGTTTATCTTAATAGTATATTTCACGTGCTGTAAGTAATCATTTTTCATTCAGTGAATACAGGAATCCAAGTAGAGCTATAACACAATAGATTACAGGGTAAAGGAGGGCATTTAAAAACTCGATTAAATTAAGAAGTTACTTTCATTAAGTAGGAAATAAAGGTGAACTGCTGTTAGGCAGCTGTGCCAGCCTGTGGCCTGAGTTGTGGATTCAGTGATCTAGTCCGGAACAGTACCGAGTAAAACTGGTGAAATGAGAAAATTCTTGACATTCTTATCAGAGGAGGGCGTGCCTTTCTTCTGCACTTAGCTGTCTGATGTCTGAGCTCTGAATTTGGCACCAAGGTACTAAAACTTATGCAACAACACTGCTTTATGCAAAACATGTATAAACTCAGCTTTTGTACACATCATTATAATCTTGGGGGTTTATGATGTCAAATACATATATGCTCAGTTTTATTTATTAAAAGTTGGAATAATGGGGAAAACATTTTTATTGCTTACTTGTGACTGACTATAACAACAAACACATACACTACCAGCAAAACTTTTCTGCATGAGAAAAAGCATTTAACAATAAATTCTGAATGCATGAGGGACTTAAAGAATGTATTTTGCATGCCTTGTTTCAGAGATTTATTACACTACTAATCATGTGCTGGCGGATCATATGATGTAGCTTTCAGTCAGGCTGCAGAAGCAATTACACCTAGTTGTAGTACTGAATGACTAGCATGCTTTCTGAGTTATCACACATGACAGAGAGAATTACAGTATCTTACTAAATTTCATATGAATTGCCCAATTCAAAGCATCACTGTGAAGGTCAAGACAGTGATCAGTAATAAAAAGAGTTACTGTCTCAGTTTTAATGACTTTTGTGTACAGAGCTTTAGCTGTTGCTGGCTGTACATAGAAAGTAAGTTCTGTAAGCAATACACTGAATTCAGATCATTGTGGTGGAGGTATAGAAGTTATCACAAATAAGGCATCTGGCTGATGAGAAAAAAAGTGGTTTTAAAATGAAAGAGAAGTAAAACTGGTTGGAAATATGAACAGAATGGAAGTGGTTTTTTCCCGGCTGTGGCTAGTCATGTATCACCATTTGCAAAACACAAATATTCAATGACAAGAGCAAGGAAAATAAAATCTGTGGTCTCAGAACATCCTCTATCTTCTGGTAGAATCTCTGTTATTAGGTCATGTTTAGCTTTGGACATAAAGAAATAAATTTTGGGCCTCTGACCAAGCTGAAAGATGTTGGCTTAGCATTCAGGACATCTTGGACTGAAGCAAATGCTGCAAATATATCAATAATATTTCAAATCAGTATTTTTATATAAATATGTATTTATATATGTATGTATATAGAGATATCAGGTACCATTTTAGCTCTTATATCTTCTTTCCCCCTCCATTATACAACCAGTGAACTTAGTACCAAGCCTATCTGTACTCTTCCTTGCATTTCACACTGCGGATCAGTGGGTAGTAAATTGTTTAACAATCTAGAAGTAATTTTCTCAAAAGTGTTTTGAGTAAAAGCAGTGTTAAGCTTATATACATTATTAGTAGGATTTATATACATGCTGACTTCATTGGAGGAGTGACTTATTCCAGCTGTGGTAGGGCCAAGCAGTTTACCCTGGTTTACCCTTATCATGCACAAGAAGAAAAAGCAAATTTGGTTCATCCATCTGGTGCCATTTAATTTCATAATTAAATGTATTTCATGTATCTGTAATATATTTTTTTGTATTTTTAATTTGGTAAACAAAACTATAATAAGATCTAATAGTTAAATGCTGAAACTACGTTTATTTGGATAAGAGAGAAATGCTGAACAACAAGGACAACTAAGCATTAGAAAAATTAATTCAGGGATAAGGTAGGCTTTTCATCACATATTGTTACATTAAGACAGGGGTTTTAACATATAATATATTCCTTAAACTATGGGTGTTAGGCAGGAATAATTGGACTAAACTCCAAGGTTTATGATGTTATGGTGTCATGATGTCTGTAACAAGACACTGTCATTAAAATCTATTAATTTATATCTGATTCAGTAAAGTGCCAAAGTTTGAAGTGACTCAATTTTTACTGTTGTGTGTGAGAGGAGATATACATGATAAAATTCTCTTTGTCTTTAATTTCCCCACAACAATTCCATTTTATTTCATTGAATGTCCCAAATGAACAGTTTTGGTGTTCTGTTGAAGTGTGCCATCACCTCTACTGCTTTGTCATACAACTTTATATCTTGGTCCTCAGTCAATTTCTGTCTTTGTTTCCTTATCTTTTCTGTTGCCTCTGTGTGAGTATCCTCTACATTTGTAACAGATCGTTATAAGGAAAGCTTTAAAAGAAACTAAATAGTACTTTGCACAAGTCTGCTGTGGATGCAGGTCTGCAGATCAGGCTGTCACACTGCTGAAGAAAACAGCTATTGCAGACAGCAAATCTGGATTTATCAGTAAGGCTGCTCTCCATGCTACTGTCTGTGTTTCGTGCCCACACAGCCTGGAGATTTCTCTGAGGACCAGCTTTAGGTGCAGATTAACTGCAGGGAGCAGCTCTTAGTACAGTGGGGAGAAGAGCAGCACATCAGAGCCTTCCCTGCTCCTTTTCCACAGCCGTTTCAATATCCACATTATCAGTCCTGTTGCGTATGTGTGGGCTGGATTATTCATTGCTGCCAAAAATATGTTGATTTGATTTTAGAAGGCTGGTTCTCATCTCATAAGGATTTGGACCAGTACTTTGGAGACAATACCAGTGGGGAAAGAACAGCTTTACTTCCTTTCCTTGCCACTTTGACCTTCAGAAACAGCAGTCTTTGCACAGATATAGGCAAGTGTCTCTGCAGTTGTAAAATTTTTAAGATTGTTATGCTGCAAAAGTAGTAAGCACTGTTCACTAATGCCAGGCATAGCACATCCTCAGCATTTCAGGTTTTTAGTGGCTGCTAAGCATTGCAGTACATATGCATAAATAAGATAGTCATGGTGATTTCAAGGCTAAGTTACCTTGAAATTGCTGTTCTGCAAACATAAATAAGTCCCTTGCTGTGAGGGTTTTATTTCATTATAGATTTTTAGTGGGATCCATGGGCCAGATCCTGCAACTGCCTGCTTTTCCGCATTCTGGGGTGGTGAACATCACCTCAGGACTTGCTTGAGTTTCAATCCATAAAGATGATGATTTGAATTCAAGTATGAATATTCTGAAAGTGCTCTGAAGTGAAAGGTAAAAAGCGTTTAAATCTTCTCCACAATTTCCAGCTTCTCAGTTTTAGCTAGAGGCTCTCGGTAAAGCATGGTGGTTCCCAAAAGTATTTGTTTCTCAGGATGAGGGACAGTGGGAAGAAGTAAAACCCATTGTAAAACTTGGCATTAGGCAGTTTTAATCAACTTTTAACTTACGCTATATTTCAGATGCTGTGGGCAAGATAGTGGAAATTATCTGAATTTTAGTACTTTAACATTAGTTTTTATAACTTTATCAGAGATTATGGTGGTTAGTGAAAACTGTAGATTTCTATACAAATTTATGTGGGGTGCATTTTTATAAACTATGAAAATTCAGCTATTGATTGCTTTAAGCAGTCAACCTTTCCCTGCTGCAGAGATGCTTCTGAGATTAGAATAAATGTGCAGACCAGCTGACCCTCAGACAGGAAGTTCTTCCCTTTAATAGAAATCTTGTTGTTTTGTCACCTTGGTCTCACTCGGTTCCCTTCAAAGTGGGGTAGGATTCATCTGTTTAAAAATTAGACATCTCATCTCACTTCATGGCCACAAAGGGACCCTAATCTTAGATACTCCCAGCTAATTTTTTTTAATTTTAAATTAGGACTGATAAATCCCAACACAGAGCACCATCTCAATGGCCAAAGGCCGTTGGACTTGTGGGGTTTGATGCCAGATGACAGTGGCCTTGCAAGGGATGAAGTAAAGTACAACGGGCCAGATCAAACAAACATTTCACAAGTTTCTGACCCTTCAAGTGAAAAGCAAAACCCATCTCCCCCAGTCCCTCTTACAATAAAGCAGATTCTCATGTTCAAGGCTGCCTGCAAGATACCACTGAATACCTAATGGTTAATCTATTTTCTAGCCTAATTATGCCATTGTGTAGCTGAAAACTCAAGGCCAGATTCTGACATCTTTAATACATCAAACGGTGTCTATTTTTGTAAGTAATTCTGATAAATGAAAAAGTTTTAGGAACCTTATCTGTTAATATAGGATTTTGTTCACATAAGGGAGAATCTATGGAAGAAAGAGTCCTTCTGTATCCTTAGACACATTATTTAGCTCTCCAAGTACAATGCAAATACTAGAGATCATTTTTCTACAATATTAGTTAAATAAAAGTGATTATGCAAATGGCATAAAAATGAAACTCCTTGTAATAAACCACCTCTTTTCCATTCAAAGTTGCCTAATGTGTTTCTGTCAAGTATATTCCTGTATTCATTGTACCTAATCAGGAAAAAGACCACTTCAAAAAGAGTTTAGGAACTTTATCCAGCCAGCATCCTCATTCTTTCTTTGAAGTGATTGATGATGAATACTGGTGATCCCTATCCTCCTGCATAAAGCTGATTTTACAAACATGGTGGCTTTTCTATGCAGCAAAAATCCTGTGTATCTGCAAAAGAAGCTGGAAGCAAGAGGAGAGATCAGTGTCTTACAATTTGTCAGAACTATTCGGGCCAATACTGGGCAAAAGATCACAAGAGACTTTTGTTTCTCTAGTAACTTTATTCATGCTGGATGATTTTATGCTGCAAATGAATAATGTAGTTCATGTTCTATGACACCTATTCTAGAGATCTGTGTCCCAATAAATATGTGTGAGGCCCAGGTTTAGCTGCTCTAATATTATCTACAGTGCAAGCATCTCAAGAACTTTGCATGAGAAGTACAAACTATCACTGAAATAAAATATCCCTCAAAAAATTAATTGCATATGTTGCTGCTTGCCTCACTTCTAAGTTTCTAATCAGACTTTGACTTTTGTTTGAAGGCACCTTCTTGCAGATGAGAAAAAAAATTGCTCAACAAGGAGATTATTGAATAGCACATGACTTAGCCATTCATCTGGTTAGCCCATTGATAGGAATCATAAGACATTTTAACAAGACCTAGCCATAAGAAATTTTTAATATGACCTCTTACTTCCCCAAAATAATCTACTTCTATCTTACTTTATCAATGGGATGCAGCGTAGGTTTAAGGTAAAAAAAATCTAACATGAATTTAGAGAAGACAGACTTCCTCTTTGGTTTCTGTATCATGTGAATTACTTTCTCCTCGCTGCCACAGTGCTTAAAACCAAAGATAAACATCACAAACTGATGGTGTTGACCCTATAAGTGGGTTCAATGCTATTTCCATTAAATGAAACTGCATGGACTAGAAACCCAGCAATCGGCACTTTTCCCCTTCTCAGCCCAGCCTTACATTTGACAGCATGATTTCCATCAGATAAAATCTTCACAGGTAAGCTTCGTAAGGTCAGACTTCTTGTCTTCCTATCCTACTCAAAATTACTCACATTGAGAAAATAAGGTTAGAAACAGGTTTCCATTAAATGTTTCTATTTTCATAGCACTTTTCTCCAGCAATGGAAGCATATACAAGAGTTGCCTTTCTTAAAGACTGCTATCATTGTGAAACATCTCAGGAGTTTATAATTCTTTTTTTTGGATCACAGCTCAGCAATAGACATTAGTGGAAATTCTATTTTTTATTTTCAAGAAAAAATCTGTGCAATTTATTTTTTCAAAGTTCTCATGAAAACAGCAGATATATTAACAAACCCACAGCTGATCAACATACCACATCCTGATGTCAAGTGTGTTAATTTTCATACTGTTAATGATATAAAATTACAGATATTTACAAATGTCCATGTTTGTATATGATAATATATTGCTAGCTCACAAAAATACTGTAAATAACTTCCCAGAAAACACTTTGAATTCAGCAAATAAAACCATAAAACTTCAGATTTTTTCTCCTCCCAGACCTTTTCACTGGAGCAATACAGTTCTTCATATTGCTACTGCTGTACTATTTCTTAGAACACTTTCCATGTTTATAAGGTTTTAAATTCACCTTCCTCACCTCTGTGTTTTAGTTTACTTATAACACTAAATTTGTAAGGACTCTAATGCCTGGTTACTGCTGGTTATTATAACTTGCACTAGGATCCCCTTTATGCATGACCAGTCCAGTTGCATTAGATATTTCACACAAAATACCATAGTTTCAAGGAGTTTCTGATCTGGTATCTAGATTTTTTATGACTCTTGTTTAAAGTCCTATGATGTACACCAAGACCCTTGGTACTGTCCACAGACCAAGAAATCTGGCAGCCTAATAAGACCTAACACTGGAGTTCAAGCTTGTCATAAAGTTAGTAAATTTCCTTGGATGTTTGCCTGAAAATTCCTTTTTCATGCAATACTCTCCTGCATTTTCATGCAAATTAGTCTAGCATAGTACTTGCTATTATTTAGACAAAGAGTAGTTTCCCAGAGACTTATGAAATGAAGTCCTGCCTTCACCAATGTTCTCTTAGAAAACTTGCTATGTGAAATACTGATCTAACTTGGAAGCACTAATTTTTAAAATTTTCTCCCTCCTAATTTCTTCATCACAGGACAGGAAAGATTTGGAAACATGACCAGGGTATATTACAGAGAGGCCATGGGGGCATTTATTGTCTTTGATGTTACAAGACCCGCAACGTTTGAAGCAGTGACAAAATGGAAAGAGGATTTGGACTCTAAGTTGGTTCTTCCAAATGGCAAACCTGTGCCAACAGTCCTATTAGCAAACAAATGCGACCAGGGAATAGATGTTCTTATGAACAACGGCATCAAGATGGATCAGTTCTGCAAAGAGAATGGGTTCGTGGGCTGGTTTGAAACATCGGCCAAGGTAATGTTTCCATTTCTTCTTAAATATTTCTAAGTACAGAGAAATCAGTTTCCTGAAATAGTTCATTCGATCTAAATGCACACCTTGCAAAGCTCTTCTCTTGGTGGAATTAATTAAACTTGTACTTGAACTTGTAAATTTTTTCATTTCTATTTCTTTTAGGCGTTTTGTTGCAAAGCAAATTATGTGCAACATTCTGAAATATAGATACTCTAATATGATATGCCACCAGTAAACTATGTAACCAGTCAACAGCTTATTGTGTAATAGCCTGGGGAGAAAGATGACCTTAGGCAAGGCATAAAAGCTACATCCTATGAATGATACGAGGATGTTTTCTACAATTTTTAACATTGAATATTATCTCTAAGTAATTATATAACCACTTTAGTTGAGAAATGCTGATTTGAGACAATAGTTTTATTGTCTTAGATTCCAGAAATAAAGTCAGTCTATTGTAGTGCTTGTACAATGTTTACTTCTATAAGCCTTCATTCTCAAAAGCCTTTTTAAAAAAATCACATATCTGGAGTGGAAGGAAATACCAGTCGTTCAAGTGCTGAATGAGCTACTCTAAAGTTCAATTCTTTGCCTTGGTACAGATTTCCTGAGTGCCTGGAAAATTGAGATCAAAATCACAAAGGGCACTGGGACTTTCAGATTATAAAGGCCCAAGGTACAGTGGTGCTGTGTATCAGTTTGAGATTTCTCAAATAATCTCAGTGCATGGAAGATTTGGAGAGCTGGCATTTGAAATATTGATTAGAACACAACAATTCAACGGATATTATGTTGATTGTATGCTCCTATTATGAAAGCTGGAACTTTTGGATGTTTAAAATGAAAGCAGTTTGGTTCTGATTTGACCTAGATTGTTGGTAGACTGAATGTCAAAATGCTCCGTTTGATTTTTTAATTTCTTTTATGCACTTTACGTAGGTTACTTAAGGATCTTTAGAGTGTATATTTGTATTTTTGTATTTTTGTATTTTTGTATTTTACTTTTCTAGTCTTGACACCTCCTTTAAGCATTAATATTTAAAAGATGTTTCACTTGTAATCAGCAGAAGTAACAGCAGGTGAATAGCGGCTTGTCCTAGACTGCCTCAAGCATTGCATGAATTCTGGGCTAAGATTGCAAAGTCATGAAGCTTGTTACTGCTCTTTGGCCTGTAAGAAAGGAATTTGTACCATGAATTCCATACATCAGTCCTCAGCAAACATTTGTCCACCTCTTAAAAAGGACAACAGCATTTATTGTGCCAAGGGTCATTGCAGGTCATGACAGAGAATGAATGTACAAACAATTTCAAAGGTCACAGAGAGGTTTGACTATGATGATGGAGCCAGACTGGGGCAGAACTGTGGAAGTATAAAGGACGTATAAAGGATATATAAATTTTAAAAAAGTCACAATAGAGGATAAGTTTTCAAAGTTTCTCTAAGCCACATAGAATTAAGATTTGGAGTGATTTTAAACATGGGAAATATCTAGATTCTTCTTACTTTATTTAACTCAGAAACCCAAGCAGTCCTCAGATTGCCAGTGCAATCACGCAGGAATAGCAAGAAAGCCAGTTATGACAAGATTGGTCTTCAAAATCCACTGTGAAGAGAGCAGTGAGAGTTGAGGACACATGACTTATCAGACTCTTCTCTGCTGCTATAGACCAGAGGCTAGGATCTGTTATTCTGCAACCCCCACACCTGATTTCTACTCAGAATTGGAGTCTCCTGACTTTAAAATTACACAAAGAGTAATTCCAGTAAAGATGGTAGAATCACATCATTTAGGTTAATCTAGATCAGAATAATATCCCCACTTGGTCTAAGTTCTGAACTAAAACCTACACTTTCTTTCCTAAACAAAACTTATTATTACTGCTATTTTAAAATACTGGATGTTATACATACCTGGTATTTTTTCATCCTAGGGCATATTAAATAATTGAACTTGGGTCTTGGGAAAATAAATATCTAACTATGTTTGCTAAAGAGAATAGAAACTGTTTGGAAGCGGAGTAACATGGACAGAGAAGTCATCATCCTGCAGCTAGCAGTTTTAGCAGTTCAGATAAGTAATAACTCTCTCTCTGTTGTTGAAATAATTAGATCTCTGGAGATTTTCCAGAGACATACTTGGAAACTTTATAGCCTTCAGAGTAAACTGAATATGATTTATGCATTTTGGAAAAAGAAAGGTGATTCCTTATAAAAAATAACATCATTCTGGTTGCCTTGCAGAAAGCAACATGCTACCTATGTATCTACCATATTTCAAGCTGTCAATGGTTTAAGTTTTTGTCTGTAGCATTGCCATATTACACCAAAAAAAAAAAAAGAAAAATAAATCACTCTATTATTCCCTAGTGCTATTTTTCACAAGTTAACAACTCCAATATAAAACATCTGAGCCACCTCATACATTCTCATGTATTAGTTTTGATTCTTACATTAATCTGAAGGAAATACTCAGCCTGTTCCAATCTTCTGCTCCCTATAAAGGTAGAAGAATTTGGATAATTTACCATGTAAGAAGGGCCTTATTGGGCAACAACACCACACAGTATAGTCACAAGTTACACTACTGCCACATATCTGATGGTGAGCCTGATCTCTTTTATGCATTCATATTTACTTCACTTATACTGATTGCAATCTGAAAGGCACATCCCCAGATAGTGACAAAATAACCCTTTATATTAAATTCTTTAATAAATTTCACGACCACAAGTATTGTGAAACATTCATTCTTTTAAAGGAAGGAAATGTCTCCTTCCTGTCACACATTTAATTATCCAGCACATGGCCAGAGCAGCTGAGAGCTCCATTCATGTTTCCAAGCTTTTAAACTGTTTTCACCACCATTCCTAGTTCAAAGAGGTGAGCTTTGACTTGGATTAGAAAAGGAGCAATTGCAAGCTTATTATCACTTTATAATGAAAATGGAACTTGTACAAGAAAACAGACAAGTCAGGCAAAACTAAATGTGCTTGAAAGTACCTAATTCACACATAACTTGAAATACCTTGCAACTGGTAATGGCTGTGCTGTGATTATGCCTGACTTCCTCTTTTCCCTGCTGTAATTCTGCTGTCAGTAATACAGAATTAGACAAAAAGACACTCATGTTTTATCCAAATTGCCCAGAAAGGATGGTAGCTATGCTTTTCAGATCATTACCAAACTATATACCAAGTTCCTTCTCTGCTGAGCATTATGGCCTGGAGACTGATGAGCAGTCTGAGTCTCTGGCCTATTTGGACATGTCCTATTTGGACTAGCAAGAAGTTATAGAATCTTTCATCCTTTCAGAAATATGTCCTTTCTCCAGCTTTTGTTTGACAGACAGTCCACAGTGTGTCATCATAGAATCAGAATGATTGGGGTTGGAAGGGACCTTAAAGATCATCTAGTTCCAAGCCCCCATAGGGCCCAAATGCTGGACTAGCAATCAGAAGTCCTCTTTGCCACTGATCTGCTGCATTATCTTCAGAAAGTCACTCTCTCCTCTGATCCAGCCTTTTCTTTCGCAAAGCAAGGACAATAATTCTGCTCATCTTACCAGTGAGCTCTGTGAACAAACCAAGCTCTACTAACCCTTGTTTAAATCACAAATTCTTTAGCTCTCCTGACTGGACAATTATTATGAAAGATGGAAAAAGCAAGCTATGCAGTAGACTTGCAGAGGAACAGGATAAGTAGTTTTGATTTCCATAAAGAAAAACAAGATTTGGACATGTATTTGAATTAGGCTGACACACTACAGCTAGTTTGCTGATCTGGTAACTGAAAACAAAGCAACCCATTTGAGACTGCCAGATCCGGTTAGGGATGTGTGGCTCCTACATTGTTCTTTTAATTCACTCAAAATACAGTCTAACCAATATCACCACACAGAGTCTTAGAAAATATTTCAGCTTCTGCCATAAAGCAAAAAATGAAGCTGACACTTAAGGCAAAAGCTTTCAGTTCAGTTGCTCTGTGCAGAATCCTCTGCAGAGTTTCTTTCCTGTAACTAAAATGAGTTGATTCAGATTATCCTATGGGTATTAGAGCTGTTCTGAAGCTCTCTGGATCACTTTTATGAAATACATTATTTAGTGCTGTCCCAAAACTGGAAATTCATAGAATCACAAAATTGTTGAGATCAGAAGATAATTTACTGAAATAATTTTGTTGCAGAATACTCAACCAGGCATAAGAATTCAATCACAGAAATGATCTTGTTCTCAGAGTGGCAGTCACAGCAGTTCATGTTCACGCATCTGAATGGCTTTTAACTTGTACAGTTGTTTTTCCCTAGAAATAAAACCACAGCAACATGGCACACCACCTTAATAAGGCTCTGTTCATAGTGTTTTCCCAAGTGCTCTGCTAAGGGAGAGTGTGGAGCTGTTCCCTCACACTGCTAGCTCCAGGGGAGTGCAGGTTAAAACATCTTGAAAGTCTACTCCCAGATTTTACTGTATTATGGAAATAAAATGTGGAAGCTATGTGCTTCTCACTAGGCTCCCATCTAATACCTGAATATTTCACAATTTGTAAATGTTTACTTATGGGAAGTAATTTTTTTCCAACTCCACTAGTAGTCTAAGATCATGTCTCTAAGTGGTGCTGATTCAGATCTCCCCAAGTGCCCTGGTTAGGTAGCTATGCCTGCATACACGTTGTTCTTCACCCTGACTTTTAAGGTAAGACTCTGAAACATCAGATTCAGTCAGATGAAGAAACTACCAATGTAAAAAGGGAGAAGCTTTATACTAGGAAACAAGCAGTCAGCCAAATCTAAGATATCTACATGGCAAAGAAAGAAAAATTTCATCTGAAAGTGAGACAAAATTAGAAAAGACCTTGCCTTTTTTCTTCTGTAAAGAGCTAAAAGCCAGTCTAATCTGCAGGGGTTTATTTCATATATTAAAATGGAATGCCCTAAATGTTGAAGTTCTTCATCTGCAGTAGAGATGGCAGATAAAGGGGAAGACAATACAGAATGCTAAGAAGTTTGCTGAGCTTGTGTACTGCTTTGAGTCACATTTGATAATGTATTTATTTCCCCTTCAGTTGATTGTTGCTTGCAAGACTACAAAATTATTTCCCATAGAAATAGGTTTTAAATAATGCAACTCTCTTTCCCAGCTATCCTTTCCATAAACTACCCTTTGAAAAGATATATTTGCATGAGATCGATCTACAAGGCAAACTGTAATTTTGTTTGTGTCTTCCAGTGTTCCTTTCTGGCTTTCCAAGATTGGTCAGTTATTTTCTTTGCCTTTTTTTGTTTGGTAATTTTACCCTTTGTTTAGAATAAAGAGTAATATGTGCTGATATTCACTTTGCATTCCTTCTTGATTTGGTCAAGAGAAAGACAGACATCATCACAGGAGCTGAGTTCAGGTCTTTGCTCTGGCAGATATTGTCAGGTTGGTGCAGGGTGAGTCACTTAGGGCTGGATTCACAACTCAGCTCTTGCATCACTGACTGTGATACTGTCTTTCAGATGCTGGGGCTTGCTGAGGCACATAGAAATTGGCAAGACACCTCAGGGGACAGGGCAAGGGGAGATTGTGAATCCCTCAGAGATTATAAAATCCCTCAGGAAGGGATTTATAAAGGCTAGCATGTCAAATAGCAATGTCAATATGAGAAGCAGACACAAAAACAGGAAGAGAAGACTGAAAGACACCCATAATATGGGCAAGATCCTTCATTGTTGGTCTTGCAGTAAAACCTCTCCCATGAGCCTTGGGAAAGAAAAGTGTTGCATTCCTACCTTACCATATGAAGACTTCATACTATGCCATCTCCCGCTTTCCAACTAGTCTCTGTGTGCTGGTTTCGTGTAGTTTCCTCTGTTCATGGCTCTGCTTTTCTCACTATTTGATAAATGGCCTTAGCAGCACTTCCCTGTCACAGAAGGATGCTGGGCAGGTAAACACATCAAACATGCAGTGCTGAGTAATACCATCCTTTAAAGTAATATAGGGAGACAGAGCTTTCCCTGTGTTTGGAGAACTGTGAAGGTACAAGTGACGTCAGAGGAGGCTGGAAAACAAGCACTACAGGTGCATCTAGTACTGTGTCAAGAGCTTGATAATTCCTGGACATCTTGCTGTTCAGAAGTAGCTCCACAGTAGCAGGAAGAGTAGGCCTCTCAGTATAACCTGGAGGGGAGGGGAGCAGAGGGGAGGGGAGGGAACGGAGGGGAGGGGAGAGGGACAGGGAGAGGGAGAAGGAGAAGGAGAGGAGAAAGAAAAAAGCCTCAACTTCGTCAATCATCACAATTCCTGTGGTGTTCTTTTGTAGAATGAAAGCCACAGGGGAGATGACAGTTAAGGCATTTCAACATAGGACCCACTGAAAGACATCATTTTACTCTGCTGTCTCAACTATATTTTCTTTCTTTTTTTAAAAAATAATTTTATCTTTTAAGTGTAATTGAGGCTTTCAATACCTTTAGTAGGGTGTCTGTGATTATTCCTCTCTGTCCAATCTTACTCTGATTGTTGTTTTCTTTGTATTTGTTGAACGGATTTTCACCTTCTCCTTTTTCTCTTTCCTCTCCTTGATTGCCTTTCAACACCTCATGCTCTCTAAAATCACCAGGTCTCTGGATGTCTGTGTTTGGATAGCAGATCACCTTCTACTGTTTTCAGCTGCTTCACTGCCTAGCAGAATATTGATTTTTCTTTTGCAAAACACACTATAGGAGGAGAGGTGCAGAAATCAATATTCCATTAGTCAGACTCAAATACAGTAATATCTGATCTGCAGACCTAGGACACCATAGGATTAGGGTTGTAACAAAAGGCAATAGTGGCATCAGAAAGGAAGCAGTCAAGTAATAAAGCTGGGACAGTAGGAGTTGCTTTGTTGGCATGAGCATAGGCTCCTTGCAGCTAGTAACTTAACATGTCACTTCTCATCTGTACCATAAACCAGTTGTCATCCGAACCATAGGAGAAGGCTGGAGCTAGCCATAAAACTGAGGAATGTCCATCTATACCCATTTTATGCTTTTGTGGGCTTGGTTCTTCCCCTTTCCCAATGCCTGTAAGATGATAGTCTCTGACAAAGAAGGTTTCTTTTGATACATCTGAACATTAATCAATTTGGGCAGAATCTCAGATAGTCCCTAAGACTATTGAATAAGTGTGTGCCATTCCAAGACAGAAGCAGCACATGGGTAAATGAGATGCTTATCAATCCATTAATAAAGGTAAACACAATGCAAAAGATTTTTACATTTCTCATTTTGTTCATTTAGCAATCCTGTTTTGGCTTCAGCTTTCTAAGCGGTATTGAGAGATATTTTCATTGTCTATTTTTTTCTATTAAAATTTCACAGTGATCTGAAAAAGGCTTTTGGTGCATGCTTGAGGAATTTTCTTGTCTGGTCTAAGAGAGCCATGTGATACAGCAGCATTTTAACATCTCAGTACAGAGCCGGTTCCCAGCTCCATATTACTTTCTAGGGATTACTATATTCATAACTTGTCTAAAGATTTGGGGTTTTACAACCAACTGATATCCTTTACAGATAAAATATTTAAATTCACTTATGTAGTTCAAGAAACCTGTGAAATCTTGGCACTAATTTACATTTTCAGTTAGATCCACAGATTTCAGCTGTGGTGCAAAAGGATGGTCAATGAAGTTTGTGAAGCTTTGCCATTGATTTCAAGGGGATTAGATAAAGTCATCTTCACATAATCCATTCCTTTAGCTTTTGATCTTCACATAAATGCCCCTTCTCTAGATTATGGCCTCACTGCAACAGGCTCCAGATTACCTTCCAGAGGAACCTTCCAACCCAAATTCTTCAATGATTCAATGATTCAGCTTGAAAACCTAGGTAATCTTAGGTTGCAAATCAAACCTTACACTTATTGAGCAGGAGTTGTGTGTGCCTCTACACAATTATATACATATGTGTTCAAATGCATTTCTATATGTATGTATGTGGGTGGGGGTGTGATACAATTTTCTAGAAGACTGAAGCTACAGTGAAGTTTCCATCTCCTGTCATATAAAGTAAGTAATCAATGCCAGTAGATTACTGGCAGTAGATTGCTCTTAGAGTAGAAGTGTGTTTTTTACACCAGAAAGCCTGACTTTTCATTCCAAACATATTGGAGGCTGTCATAAAAAAAATCCTTTCACAATATGATTGCTTATTTTCTGTGCTGTGCTGAGCTGTGTCTCACTGATCGGGCTGTTTCAGCTTTACTTATTCTACAGAGTGAGGGTTGCTAGAAGTTAAATGCTGTTGATGCATATGTAGGAGAAGGTGTGCTTTAGCTTTGATTCTAAACCTTTAGAGTGAGGGTTTCTTTCCTACAAATGTAACCAGTGGTGACATATTTCTTCTGAAGTAGTGCATTGGTGATAAGTCACCCTCAAAAGGAAATAAAGGAGGAGTCGAAATGATACAGAACTTGTTTTACTATTTTGTGAGTAACTTGAGATTGTATTGTTTGTTCAATGAATCTAGTTCATCACAGGTTTCATTTTAAGCACTGTATACAGAAATCTTCTTGAAAATGTGGAAAAGGCTTTAAAAAATGTTATTGATGGCTGTAATTACTGATAGGTAATTAATCAAAAATCAGAGTAACTATTATTCAAGCAGTGAAATATATGCTCTGGAGCTTTACTTCAGGCATCTGTCTTCAACACCCCTCTGGCATTTGTTTTTTTAATTTATTGAAGCAATCCAATCACCAAGAGATTGAGGTAATTTAAAGTCAGCTCTGTGTACAATTGAAAGGAGATATGAATTATAATAGATATAAAACTTAACTAACTTCAAAACTCCAGTAAGCATTATTTAATACAGTCAATTTTTGAAAGCTGTTTATTAAGGAAAGTAAACTTTTGATGTTAGCTGCAGAAAAGTTTAATTATGCACAGGAAATATGCAGCATGGTTTAATTAATATTGACTAATCAACCTCTCTTTCTCTTTCACTTGCAGGAAAATATAAACATCAATGAAGCTTCCAGATGCTTGGTGAAACACATAATTGCTAGTGAGAGTGATCCAGTTCAGTCTGTTGAACCAGATATTATAAAACCACACTTGAATTCCTCCAAGATTGTCAGTTGTTCATCTTGCTTTAAATCCTAAGAGACTTCCAGACTATTACAAAAGCTGAACAACTATGATTCACAATTTATACTTTATCGAACATACCCGGCTGCCCAGATTGTCCCTAAGCAGATTGCTGTTTTCTCAAAAATACATTTAAATTTTTCCTTTATTTTTTTTCAGCTAAAACTTATTATGAGCTGTTCATTGATAGCAACTATTCAAAACTCTCTTTGACTATTGGTCAAAAAAAGACTCATGGTGATGACTGTGTTTTCCAATTTGATTAGCACCACCAGTGATATCAAAACTTATTTCTTCACCATGTGGTTTCTGAAAGCTCTTATTTGTGATGTGACTGCAGCAATATGCTAGTTGTCCATTGGTTTTCCAGCTTGTCTTCTCAATACTTTCACCAGGTAAACATCACCATTACACTTTGTCACCCCTCAAACTTGAATGATCTTGTTTCATATAAGATGATGATTACTATGGGAATTTAACTGTTCAGAAAGACAAAACAAGAATGCTTACAGCGAAATCTTCCCATTGCAAGTTCAGTCTCCTGGGTGGAGTGGCAGGGCTGAACGTGAAGCAACATTTCATGTCATTTAGTTCTCCAGAAGATCTGAGCTTCTAAAATTGAACCCTGATGTATTATCAACTCTCTCTTTCTGAGGAGTTACATTCTCATGGTTGATAATATTGTTTGAGATGAAGCAAAATTGAACAAGTCAAGGGTGAGGGGTGACAAGGCAGGTAATCAGGGGTACAGTCTCATAGGTGAAGCAGCTCAGGGTTTTCAGAAAAATTACCTATTTTACAAAGCCAGCATTTCCTCTGAAAAGCCCGCATTGATTTTGTCTCTACCTCTCCATCCTTCATGCCAGAGATATCCCTGTGTGTTCAAACTGTGTATATTCTGTAAGTCCTCGAATGCATTCCTCCATTATGTTGATGTTAATGGGAAAATTCACTAACTGCACTGTAACATAACAGCAGAACTTTTCAAGCATCCATCTATGTTAAATAGAAGGTTATATGCTTTCTGAAAACATTCTTCTAGAAACCCCAATTTTATGAATTATCACAGAAAACAAAATGAAACAGTAATAAGAAATACTTCCAGAAAATGTGAAGATTTTTTTGAGCTGTGCTGTGGAAATGAAATGGTTGATTTTCAGCATCTCACAAAATGTGCAGATTGGTGAAGTCATTCAGACAAGTGTGTCTAGACAAGAAGACTTGACATCTGGCTGCAAGCCCCTTCAAGACAAACTTTGCTGATCTCTTGCCATAGACAAATTACTTGCATTTTCTGTTCTTATTCAGGCTTTTCCCTTCTAAGCTCTGAACTAAGCTCAGTTGCAGGAGCTGTCTTCTGAGATGGGTGTCTTTTCTTAGAGATGTGTAACACTGTGGAGGGGAGGAGATAGAATCTCATGATGCCTTTTATTTACAGATGTCACTTCATTACTTCACTGAATATTTAGTTGGAAATGAAGGAGTGAAATTCTCGAAGTCTAGTAAATACCTGCTGTATAGGAAAAAATGAAAAAGAAAAAAATTCCTCAAGCTGACCTTATCCTGTGAGACTTATGAGGTTCGTATGCCTCTAAAGTTCATCCTAATATTTGGCATTGTTAAGTTTATGTTTGGACTCAATGACCTTAAAGTTCTTTTTCAACCTAATTGATTCTCTGATTTTGTGACTCTATCACTAAATGATCTGTTACTATGTGAGCACTGCAGAGGAGCCAGGGAGAGTCATAGCTCTTTATGTGCTCTTCCTAAAGCTTTCCATTTTTGCCACAGAATTTTGGAATAAGAAATCAAGATCTCTAGTTTTAAAAGAAAAAATTCACATCCAGAATTAATCTGCATAGACATAGATATAAGGATACATACATATAATGAGCAGGCTTTTTTGAGAAGAGTAATTTTCAAGTTGTCTTGTTCACCGTGCTATCCTTTAATACCTGTGTAAAACATCCTTTAACTCCTGTAAGGAGTAAGCTGTAATTAACTCCTGTTGTGATCTGGGTCAAGTACCTTAACCTTCATGCCTCAGTTTCCTCATCTGTAAAAGAGGGATTGATGTACACACCTACCTCACAGCACTCCCTGAAAGTTACTGTTGGTGCCGTGCTTTGAAGATATATGTTATGCAAACGCAAAGCTCTGTTAGTGCTGAGAACGAAATATGAGTGCCCTCTAGCATAAATACATGGTGCTATAATGCCTAACTGTTCTAAATCTATCCAAGGCTTGCCTGTGCTACAACAATTAGCTTCAATTATTCCACCTTAGTTAACATAGTCAAGGTTATAAAGCAACGTGTGACAGCATGGGATGATCAGATTAGCTGCAGAGGGGTTGCAAACAAAAACTGTGGGTGCACAGATGTTACAGTACTAGTTTAATAATCTCAGCAAAAAAACTGTAACTCAGAACTAGTTCCACGTCATCTATTTCAAATTTAAAGTATTATTTAAGTTAGGCTGTATGGATTCCTTATTAGGATAACAATTCATATCTTGAGCCAACACAAGCAACTAGGTATTCAGATGGCTTCTAAGGGGCTAATTTTTCATGAGTGTGTCTCAGGTCAAACAGAGAATGTAGCCATTTCTTCCAAAAATTGTTTTGTGCTCAACTTGTAACAAACATAGCAGTTCCTAATGTGTTTTATGTATCTTCATATCACTTCTCTTTGGTGGCTTCTAGCAATATCCACTAAGCATAATGGTAAATTCCAAGCGCTATGTCTAAAGATCTGGTATAACAGCAATTAAAACAACTCCAGACAAATAAAACACTTAAACAACATATAGAGGATCTTTTTTCCTCACTTTTTGTATAAAGCTGCTTTAAAGTATGAACCCACAATCTGTTCCCCTTGTTTCTTTTGTGTCAGGTTTCACTGAAGTCACTGTTTTAGGACAGATTTTCCACCTCTGGTAGATGGTGGACACAATTTGGCAAATTTCTAGACTAAGGACTATGCAAAATATAAGTTCTAAAGTCATACATATTTACACCATAAGAATTAGAACAGTATCACAAAGAATCAGGCCTCCTTAGGAGGTTACGTAATTCCATATGTTCATTTTTATTTGTACTAAAGTGATAAAAATCTGTCAAGTGTCTTTCTATAATACCATAAATGTGTGAATGCAACCTGAGTATCTAGCAAACAGAGCCTTTTTAGAAGAGGTTGTTGTAGGTAGGCCAGAATAAAAGCTTTAATTTAGAATTAATGAGCTCAGTTTGTGCCAATACCCTTTCAGGAGTAAATGTAAAATTTAATTATACAGTGTCAATCCCTAACAGGTTGGATTTCCTTGGTTTTTTTTGATACATTCTATTCTGTGTCCTCTTTGCTGGTCATTAAGGACCAGGTATCTTAATCACGTGGCCATTTCAAAATTAAACATTTTTCCCTTCTGTTTGCAATAAGTAATAAAAGACAAGTCTCTATTGCCTTCCAAATAGGCAATGGTACTGCAAAGTGGAGTTAAAATTTATTTTCATTCTAGTTCTCCATATACACCCTTCTGGGTGCCCCAGCACCTCAAACTACATGCTGATGAGCCAGGGAGGTTCCAGACATGAGAGATCAGCACAAAACACTCAATAAAAATGGTGGTTGAGCATCTTCACCCTAAGACATCGTTTACAATTCAGCCACAACATCAGTAATAACAGGATGTCTTTCATTTTCTACCTTTGAAGGTCCATACAAACAAAATCTCATGATCCCAAATATCTTGGGAAGCATATGCATATTACTGATAGGAAAATGGATTGAATGAAAGATAATTACTCTGTCATTCCAGAAAGATCATAATTTATTTGACCAGGTTCAGCTTTCAACAAAAAGTCTTTTGGACTCTGAAAATCAGGCTTTGTTATTCTTACACACCATTTTTTTAGATAACATATTTTCATTGAATTTTTCTGTTCAGGAATAGCTGTTCCAAAAGAACTTTATGTATGCAGCTTGAGTTGTTGTACATCAATATTTTATCTTCAGACTTTTTTTTCTTCTATTTTAACCTGCCTGACAATATAAAATGGGGAGGGAGGGAGAGAGGGAAGGAGATTGAAGGTGCATGTTTAAATAGCAGTTTTGTTTTACTTATTGAAACAGCTTGTCTAGCTGGGTGAAATGAAATTGGTAAACAGATGTGGGAAATGAAATTTAATGTCAATTGCCGGGAAACAATCACTGAAAATATCTTTTACTGCACCAATATTTATGCATGTGACCGCAGCTTCTATTGTAATAAAAGATGGTATTTCTGACAAAACATGGAATATGAGTAATTTGTAAAATTAATTCATTAACCAAAGTAGGCACATATAAGCTAATTCAGCTTTCCTCATATGTAGCCAATTTCTGATATATGAGTATATTTTAATGGTTTCATTTAGGCTGCTTATTTTCTCTACAACCTCTCTTTTAAACCATCTGAGTTAGTGTTTGACATTGGTTAAAGGGTTATATATCTGCGACAGAAACTTTCCACCTTTTCTCCCTCTTTGATATGCAATTCCAGATGCAGCTTTTATGGCTCCAGCTCTTCAAAGAACCTCAGTTCAAAGACTGATTTTAAAGGCAGAATTTTTTGGCTCACAAATAGATGCATCATCAGTTTGGGGGCTCATTAGTAACCACAGGCTCAATTCTTGGAAGTCTGGCTGAGTAATAAATGGCCTAAATTTGTAAAACGGGCAGCTGCATGTCTAGGATATAGAAAATGCATTTTTCTTCAGCTGTCAGGGCAAGCTGGTACCTGCAGCAATGTCACACACTTGACCTTTCACAATTCCCTTGTTTTAATAATTGTTTTATTAATTACATTAAAAAAAAAAGAGGTGCCTGTCTGCAGTGTAAGTTTAGTGTTTATTTACAGTTTTCAGCTTTTCTGAAACAACAACAAAAAAATTAGCATTCTGGTTTCACTGACTGTTTTAATAATGCAATCTGACATTCTGACACTCCATGGCTGAAGGTGCTGCAAGACTCACAACAAATCCACGGTACTTGGTGGCATGCTTGCAGCTACACTGATCAAAGCTCATAACAAGGAAATATATTTGACTGCAC